GCCCTGCCCTTCCTCACTTTGACTCCTTTCTCTTCTAAAAGGCAACACAGCTTCATAAGAAAGAGCACTGGCCTTGGCCAGGGTACCTCTTTATGTTCTAATCTTAGGTCTGTAACCTATGTAAATGAGAGGGCACATATCAGTCAGCCATGCTGGCCTTTGGTTTCATCTTGTAAAATGCAGGCTCTGCACTAATGATCCATTTCCTCCTCTCTAGTCACCAAAATCTGTTATTCCTTTAGTCTTCTGTAGTCAGGTTTTTAGACTTCTCTTCCCAACACTGTGGTTTATAGTTATGCAGATTCAGTCCTACCTCAGGACTTTTTCAAGCCTTTGCACAGAGAGGTGCCTTTAGTAATTACACCCACCCAACGGGGACACTATTTTTGCTAAGACCCTGTATATGCCTCAATTAAAGATTAAGTCTGGTTTCCTGCTTCCAGGAATTGTATTTCTTCTCATCCTTATTTTCCCCGTTGTTCTAGATACAGTCATAACATTTCCCATTTCTCATTTCAAACCCTGAAAAAAATCTTTGCCTGTCTGATCTCCTGGTTGCTCTCCCCCCTCCAAAGCATTTCAGTTACTGATCTTCATTTCACATACTAATGGGAGAAAGATCATAATTCTGAGAATTAACTAATATGTTTATAACATTTAAGAGTCTCTCAGTAGTTACTAATGCTTAAAAATAAATGTCTACTGTCTATAAATGTCTACTGTCTTAGTATACAAATAGAATATTTAAGTATTTCGGGGTGCCTGGGTGGCTCAGTCATTAAGCGTCGTGATCCCAGAATCCTGGGATCAAACCCCACATTGGGCTCCCTGCTCAGAGGGAAGCCCCTCTCCCCCTACTTGTGTTCCCTCTCTCGCTGTGTCTCTCTCTGTCAAATAAATAAATAAAATCTTTAAAAATTAAAAAAAGAATAAGTATTTCTATTTGAAGCAAAATTGTTTTCCTAAATCTTTGTAAAATTCATTCATAAAACCCCAGAAAAAAATACTGTCTCTGACATTCATCCTTCTAATTCTTCTGGTTTTCAATTTCAGACCAACTCTCTTTAATATGTAATTATTTTTTAAAATCCCCTTAAATTTTTAGTTGCTTATTGAACTTATTTTTTTGTATCTATATGATGTTTTTAATATTATGCTTTTTGTTTATAGTGGAATAAAAGATAAAAATTTCATGCTGCATTATGAGGTAAGGTAAATTTTATCCCCAATATTTTATGAAAACTTTTCAGGATATAGCAAAGTTGAAAGAACTTTAGAGTGAATATCTACATGCCCACTGCCTAGGTTCTACTATTAACATTTTACTATGCTGGTTTTATATATCTGTTAAGGTGGATTTGGGCATGTTCTTTTATTGCATGCAGAAGGGAATTTAGAGAAATGTCATAGTTTTCAATCACTAACTTCATGTTCTGAATCAGACATAAAAGTTAAAGTATAGTAGACAATTTTATTTTAGTCAAGAAAAAGTTGTACCCATTCACTGGTATCAAAACAAAAGTGGGGCTTTTCAAATCCTCAAATGACAAATCACCTCTTCCCTTTAGTTCATTTAAATGTTCATATTTTTACTCAGTTGATTAGTAGTAAAAAAAAACTCTGTGGTATTTAATATTAAACTACTATGTGAAACTACTGAGTTTGTGATTGACCTCATTTACAACTAAGTCCTAAGGCACTAGACACGACATATAGCACTTTAATTTTAGTATCTGGAGCATATACGCTGGGAGGCTAATATAAAAGTAGCAAGTCACTTCACTGTTGAGTGACCGTTGTTGGCTGCCCAGAATCCCAACATCTCAATTTTGTTGTGCATACTATAATTAATAGAGAATATACAGAAACCTGGGGATTTTCACAGATTTTGAGTCCCTTATAAATATCCTGTTCTGCATATACTCAGATGCTGCAGAAGCCAGAAAGTAATTATAAATGAGTAAAGCATATCCTTTGTCATGAGCTGCACAGCACATGGATGGCAGTCTTTAAAAAGGGCAGCTGTGGGGGCACCTGGGTGGCTTAGTCGGTGTCTGCCTTTAGCTCAGGTCATGATCTCAGGGTTCTGGGATCAAGCCCTGCATTGGGCGCCTTGCTCAGTGGGGAGCCTGCTTCTCCCTCTGCCTGCCACTACCCCTGCTTGTGCTTGTTTTCTTTCTCTCTGTGTCATATAAATAAATAAAATCTTTTTTTAAAAAAATTAATAAAAAGGGCAGCTGTGAAAAATGTACCTGTAGCTGATTACTGGCAACAGAAGTAAAGGAGGGGGACAGTAAAAGGATATGGGCTGTTATTGCTACATCCTTTCATTTTTAAAATTTTTATTATAAAATAAAAATAAAACAGATACTGAAAATGTTATAAAACAAAGGATGGCGTAATGAGTTTTTATAAGGCAGAGACCCTTATAACCACCACCAAAATCAGAGAATAGAAATGTTCCCAGTCACCCCTGAAACCCCTCCATGCTTTTCATCCCAGTCTCAACACCCTTCTTTCCCTGAAAGTAACTACTCTCCTAAATTTTATAGTAATTACTTCCTTGCATTTCTAGTGTACATTCCCTAGACACTGTAATCTTGTCCATTTTTTAAAAATTTGATATTTCTGTAAATCTCTTTTAATCTATAGGTCTCCTCCAAAACATTCTTTTCTTTTCAGTCTATCTGTTGAAGTCCCAGAGCCATTTGACCTGCAGTCAGGGTGTTGTTGAGTACACACTCATGGCGCAATCCAACAAATTTCTCTTTCTATCTCCTAAAAATTGACTGCAATCCTGAAAATTGACTGCTAGATCCAGAGGCTTGAAGATTCATGTACCATTACTCCTTTTTAAAAATATTTTCTTACACAAACTGGAATTCCAAATTTTATGGGATATTTCCCAATATTTTAAATGACTGAACTAAGTCATATTCCTTTGAGACACTGTACTGGTCAAATAAAGTAGTTTGCAACCTCTGACTAAAAGAAAACACTTACTGGAGAAGATCTGTTTCCTCAATGTGCATTTCTTTTTAAATTTGTATATATTTTTCTTATAAATATATAATACTTCGTCATTGTTAATAATTTAAACATTATAGAAATTTATGTTGTGGATCCCCATAACCATCCACTTCCCACTCTGGTTCAAATACACATTAGAAATAGTTACTTTTACTAATTTGATGTATATTTCAGCTATACAGACATTTTCTATGTATATAAATGAACTTTAAAAAAATGGGATTCTACTCTTTTGTAACTTCTTTTATTATTTTGGTACTATATCTTAGATATCTTTCCATGTCAGCTGTTTATGTATCCTTTTTTGTTTGCTTTTAAGTTTCCTCCTTATGCCACTAATGAAATTGGCAAAGTCACTGGTGTGAATAGAAGAGAACTTGGGCATGGTGAGTACAAATCTATAACCTTTCTTGTATTCTTATGGGGACTTAGTAAATTTATGCTTATTATTTTCTGTTCTAATTTAGGTGCTCTTGCTGAGAAAGCTTTGCATCCTGTTATCCCGAAGGATTTTCCTTTCACAATAAGAGTAACATCTGAAGTCCTAGAGTCAAATGGTAGGATATTAAAATAAATTTTCCCCTAGTCAAAAGACCAGAATTCCTGTTATATTCTTAACTTTCCATAACTAATGTTACATTATTCTTATTACCACAGTGCCCGAGTCCATGACAAAAGAAAAATGTGTTTAGTTAATCATATACTATCTAAATCTCTGTTATTAGCTAATAAGATGTTTTGAAAGCAATATAAAACAAATATTTCTCTTTATGTATCTTTTATAACAGATCCAATTGGGTTATTTGTTTATTTTTAGAAACAAACCATCGAGCAAGGCCAGCTTCAAGAGAGAAAGGGCCAAAAGAGAGTGACACATTAGGCAGGGGACACCTGTCAAGTATCACAGATATAAGTAGCACAGAGAGAGGCTGGACTAAAAGATCAAATTTAGTGACACCTAGGTGGCTCAGTCACTTAAGCGTCTGTCTTCGGCTCAAGTCATGATCCCAGGGTCCTGAGATCAGGTCCCGCATTGGGCTCCTTGCTCAGTGGGGAGCCTGCTTCTCCCTCTGCCTGCCACGCCCCCTGCTTGTGCTCTCGCTCTCTCAAATAAAATCTTTTAAAAATATATTTTAAAAGATCAAATTTAAATTTAAATTAAGTATCCAGGTCAAGGCAGGGTATGGCCATTAGAGACGGAAAGGTCACAGAGATGGTCACAGATACTTAAAAACAACAACAACAAAAAAAATCCTCTGAATTTAAACTAGAGACTTTCTATCCTCTATAGGGTGTGACTAGGCTATAACTTAGGGTCCAGTGAGAGAGCCAGAGCCTGTATCTTTAACTACCTTCTGATTAAGCAACAAAAGAGGCATGGTGGTTTTTCTGGGAGGTTTCTTAGAATCTATAGCACTGCTGTCCAATAGAACTTTATGTGATGATGGAAGTTATCTCTATGCTATGCAGTTGAGGGACTGATTTTATTTCAATTAATTTAAATTTAGTAGCTACATTACCTAATGACTATCATACTGGACTGTATAGTCCTATAGTTGGTGGTTTAACAGAGCTTGCCTTAATTGCTTTTAAAAGGAATACTGAATATTTATAAGGAAATAACCAACAGTAATAGTTCTCTACATTTAAAAAAATCAGTATATTAAAAAGCAAGTATTTTTTGTTTCTATAGGATCATCTTCAATGGCATCTGCATGTGGTGGAAGTTTAGCGTTAATGGATGCAGGTAAAGTTATGTGTCAAAACTACTAATACTTTATCTGTATTTGATTAGTAAAAAATATAAGATCTCTTTAAAATTGGATTTTGGTAAGACCTGGAGAAGTCAAATTACAGATTACCAAACCAGGCCAGAACAAGATAGTTATAAAGTACCGCTTCAACCATACAGGTAATTACTAGAATTCTTATCTTTGGCAGAAGGGAAAACACTAAAATTATTTACTTACCTTGGTAATCAGTGAGCTTTCTCACCTTCTAAAAGGTAAAGAGTTCTGCAGTTGATTCCATTCACCAACAAAGTTTGGACCAGCAGGCAGAAGTATTTAGGACCTGTAAAGGAAAGTAATCATGTAATCTTCCAATCAATTTGCAAGGCATGAGAAGAACAATACCACCCACAGAAGGATACACAGAATTTTAGGAAGAAAGACTATAAGAGGTTCAGTATATCTCCGTTTGAAACACCAAAAGGGAACACCAATGATGCTGTTCAAGAAGAAAGAGAAAAGGAACCTAAAGATACTCAAGAGGCTAAAAGGAGCTCCTTCTAAGTTCACACATTTATAGTACAGAAAAACAGAAAGACAGAAAGGGTACTGTAACCAAGGATGAGATAAAAGAATCATGTGAATATATAATAACACTGTCTAGAAAGATGAAAACTTAAGCCAAAGCAAAAAAACCCTAAAGGTGCTTTTCTAGTTGTGTTCAGTGCCAGAAAAACATCAGCTGATATTTAAGGTTGCTGGTAAAATACTTTTTCTGTTTTCACCTTCATGCATTCATTCAACCAATCTTTACTAGATGCCACCCCTCTTCCAAGCATTGACCTAAGCCCTTGGGACACAGTGATGAACAAAACACAGTCCGTGTCCTAGTGGAGCTTGCATTCAGTCAGTCTTACATTTTCATATTGGAAAACACAACATATTCTCAAAAAGGTGAACTGAAAGAGTAAAAAGAGATCATAAGAGAGTCTTTAACTGCTTTAAATGAATTCAGATCTTTTGGTCTAGACAAATCCCAACCTAAGTAAAGATGAGAACTTCAGGATGAGATAACTGACCAGTGTTGGCAGTATTTGAAAAATCAGAAACTAGTACACTAAGGACACAAAAAGTTCTTAATTTTGAAAGAAAGTAAGGTATTTTCTGTAAAGCATAACCTAGTGAACTTGACAGTGACCCTTGATAAAACTCTTAGATTATAAAAAAAAAAAGGTTTATAAGTATTTTTAGGAAGGTCTCTTCTCTGTGAAGAGAAGGGACCAGAAGGGACTCATTTGAAATAAATCCTGTCGTAAAATAATGTTCCACTTTGGAAAACATTAGCAGATTTGGAGCTGGGAGGGGGGTTGCTGCCTATACCGTATATCTAGAGTCAGTTTGGCAGCTCATGATTTTTCTGTAAATGATACAGAAATTGAGATGGATGATAGGTGCACCTTCGTAACTGGTTGAAGCATGAGTAGAGGAAACAAGCAAATCTGATCAGTAGGATGGTTTGGTCAAGTGGAATGCTTGAGGAATTTTCCTTCTAAATCCTGTCAATGGTTTTATTATTGAATTGACTTAGAACATTGGCCCACTGATAAAAAGGATACTGCTAAAAAAGAATGGGTGACTGATATGTTAAATGACAATTTTGATCTCTAAAAAAAATGTTAACAGGATAAAAAATAAGAAGCCAAATAGAAAAAAATTGAATTTGACAAGAATGACTGTCAAGTCCTGTGGGAAAAGCCAACAAAGGGTGTGCAATTCAACTCAAACACATGAGTGCTTATCATTCCTCACATCAGGCACTTGCTTCAGGGATACAAATGGTACCCATTTTCTAAAAAGTTTACAGGTGCGAAAAACATACTAATAGATCAAGAAGATAAATTCAGGTACGTAACACAAATATGTACAATATGGATGAAGAATTAGGTTGAAGGCAATTAGCTTCATAGAGATAGCTACATTTCATCTGGTTCTAAAGGTTAAGTAGTTGATCTGTCATTAGGAGCAGGGCCCATATTTCATGTGAAAGGAACAACATGGGCAAAGTTTTGAAGCAGTATGGTATGTTTCTGAAATGTATTTGAAAAAACTAAGTAATAAATTGGCACCAGATTTTAAAGGTCATTGTTATGTTAAGGATTTTGAACTTAAAGCTAATATTTCACAACCCAGTATTCTATGAGTACTGTTCCTGCTGGATGTTGATTATTGTATACCATGAAAAAAAATCATTCTATTATAAAGTACATTTGAGCAGGATTAAGCAGGTTTATTTAATATGAGTTAAATAAACTTTAATATGCTAATGTGAATTCTGAATCTCTAGGATATGCACTATTTCCCAAATTTTTTTTTTTTTAAAGATTTTATTTATTTGACAGAGAGAAACACAGCGAGAGAGGGAACACAAGCAGGGGGAGCGGGAGAGGGAGAAGCAGGCTTCCAGCAGAGCAGGGAGCCCGATGCGGGGCTCGATCCCAGGACCCTGGGATCATGACCTGAGCCGAAGGCAGACGCTTAACAACTGAGCCACCCAGGCGCCCTTCCCAAATGTTTTTGACCAAAGAACATACATAAAATTTCCTGATAGCATGGGGCGCCTGGGTGGCTCAGTCGTTAAGCATCTGCCTTCGGCTCAGGTCGTGGTCCCAGGGTCCTGGGATCGAGCCCCGCATCGGGCTCCCTGCTTGACGGGGAGCCTGCTTCTCCCTCTCCCACTCCCTCTGCTTGTGTTCCCTCTCTCGCTGTGTCTCTCTGTCAAATAAATGAAATCTTTAAGAATGAATGAATGAATGAATGAATGAATGAATAAATAAATAAATAAATAAATGAAATTTCCTGAAAGCAGATAATGGGGAACTCAGGAGAATTTTATGTAGAGGAATAGTGTGATTTGAATCTGATTTTTCTTTTTGGTAATTTTTTCAGCTTAGGTGATAGACCTAGAGGATGAAGTGGGAGAGAATGGAAACTGAGGGGAGAGACTAAAATTGGGGAAACCAGACAGGGAGAATGTTGTCAGAGCAAGAATAATGCGGACTTGGACTAAAGGAGCAGCAATGGATGTTTCAGTATTTAGGGGAAAGGACAACTTTATAAAAAAATTTAAAGGACAAACTATCAGATCTTTGTGACTTCATACAGGAAATGAGGAAAGAAGTGTTGATTCTGGCATGAGTGTCTTAGTTGCATTCAACCAAGATAAGAAAGGCAAGACAGAAAGGATTTATTGGGTGTGATCACATTTTGAATATATGTACATACATATAAGGTGCTTTGGGGACATTTAACTGGAAATGTCCAATAGGCAAATTGGCTATACAGATCTAGGGCTTATTAGAAAAGAGAAACAGGCAGGAGAGAGAGATTTTTAAGTCATCAACATTATAGGTTATGGTTAAAAACCATGAGCATAAGTGAGATTGCTTAAAGAATATGAAATGAGATCCCCGCCACACTCCTTTGTAACAGATGAGTTCCAAGTGATAAAACCTTAGATGTTTTGTAAAAAAATGAAACACAGAAGATTTTATCAAAGTATTAGGAAAAACCCTGTTACATTTGATTTTTTTTTTGCAAAATTCAGGAACCATGATTGCATATAACTTTTAAAATTCTGTACAGGAAAATAAATCATAATAAACAAAGTCAATTGACTAGGAAATAATATATTTCCTTTAATATATTTGTATTTAACAAAGATGTACTGTCCATATTGAAAGAGCTTTTATAAATCATTAAGAAAAAATCTAGCAAACAAGTAGGGAAATGGTTGAAGGCCATGAACAGGCAATTCAAAGAAAAAGAAATATAAGGGGTGCCTGGGTAGCTCAGTTGGTTGTGTCCAACTCTTGATCTCAGCTTGGGTCTAAATCTCAGGGTTGTGAGTTCAAGACCCACATTGGGCTCCACACTGGGCATGGAGCCTAAATAAATAAATAAATAAAATAAACAGTATGTAAACATTTTAAAAAAAGTTTAATCTCACTTATAAAAAATCAAATTAAAAACAATAAGCTACCATTTTTACCCTTTATGTAACAAAGGTCAAAAGGTTTGACAGGAATTAACAAGGAAGTAGAACAGCAGGCACCCTCAAGTACTGCTGGTAAAAATATAAAATGCTACACTCTGGAAGGTAGTTTGACGGATTTATAATAAATGTAAACCCACACACTCTTTGACTCAGTAATCCCACTTCTATTATGTGGCTTATAAATCCATTCAGGGAGTATAAGCAGCCATTCAAAAGAATAAGGTGGGAACTTTGTGTGGCATTATGTGTCAATATCCAAGGTATGTTATTAAGTGAAAAAACGCAAGGTGCAGAATAGTGAGTGCACTCACTATGCTTCCATAAGTAAAGAAAATAAAAGATTACACTTCGATTCATATTTGGGCACAAATTTTCTGGGAGGACACACACACAAAAAAAACCTACTGATGGTTTTCATGGAAAGGTGAGCTGAGGGGTTTAGGCTGGAAGGATTTACAATAACATGGTTACTTTTCCAAAAAAAGAAGATAAATATACCAAAAGTAAAAAGACAAATGGATTCCATTAAGAATTAAGTTTGCTATTTTTATAGAGGTTTTTGTGAGAACAGTGATTACCTGTTTAGAATTGTTTTAAGGAGCTTTTATCATGTGCTTAAGAAGAAATGAGGTAGATAGAAGACCTTTCCAGCTTAGTTCTGATGATGTCAAATTTAAAACACCACTTACTTACATTAAAATAAATATCAACAGAATGATAAATATGTGTTAGGCTGATGTACACATTATGTACAAGCTCTTTTTCTCAATTACAGGTGTTCCAATTTCATCTGCTATCGCAGGTGTGGCAATTGGATTGGTCACCAAAAACAGTCCTGACAAGGGTGAAATAGAAGATTATCGTTTGCTGACAGATATTCTGGTAAGTATATCCATGTTTTCAAATATTCAGTGGTGAAGATGATGGTGCACATTTTATAAGCATTGGATGCTTAGAAGAATAACAGTTGAGAAATAGTGGTCCTTGTTCTTACTTTCCTCCTCTGCATATTAGCCTTGGATTTTATAGGATGTGAGTTAAAATATATATATGACAGTATAAATATCCATAACGGCTTACTTTAGGGTGATCATAAATGAATCCCTGTGCATTTATGGGGGGGGGCAACATGACCTTAAAGTGATTTTCTGATGAAACATTTCTAACTTAAAAAGCCACAAATTAGGGGCGCCTGGGTGGCTCAGTTGGTTAAGCGACTGCCTTCAGCTCAGGTCATGATCCTGGAGTCCCAGGATCGAGTCCCGCCATCGGGCTCCCTGCTCGGCAGGGAGTCTGCATCTCTCTCTGACCCTACCCCCTCTCATGTGCTCTCTCTCTCATTCTCTCTCTCTCAAATAAATAAATAAAATCTTTAAAAAAAAATAAAAAAAAATAAAATATACTTCCTTTATTAAAAAAAAAAAAAAAGCCACAAATTAGAAGCAGTAGTTAATGTAGAAGATACTTCTTTGTATTTAGTCTTAGAGGACATGGTTTACTGCCACAGCTGTTTTTTAAAATTCCTCTATAGTGACTGGGTGAATTTTTTGTTTAAAACTATATCATTTCTGGGGCGCCTGGGTGGCTCAGTCGTCAAGCGGCTGCCTTCAGCTCAGGTCATGATCCCAGGGTCCTGGGATTGAGCCCTGCATCAGGCTCCCTGCTTGGCGGGAAGCCTGCTTCTCCCTCCCCGACTCCCCCTGCTTGTGTTCCTGTCCTTGCTATCTCTCTCTCTCTCTCTGTTAAATAAATAAAATCTTAAAAAAAAAAAACTATCATTTCTTAAATTCCTCCAGGGAATTGAAGATTACAATGGTGACATGGATTTCAAAATAGCCGGCACCAATAAGGGAATAACTGCATTACAGGTATTTTAAAGCCTGTTTTGTTTCACTTTTATAATATTTAAATGTCATGAATCAATATTTATATAATTTTTTGACTTTTCCACATTAGGCTGATATTAAATTACCTGGAATACCAATAAAAATTGTAATGGAGGCCATTCAACAAGCCTCAGGTAAGTTAAGCCAGTGTGCCTGATTCTCTTTCCATCATTGTTCACTTGTTCATGGCAACTATAATTCCCATTAGGCATATTAAAAATGGGCTTATTATAAAATACTGCTTTAGAAAATGAAACTTCATGTAAAAACCTTTATGAGAGACCAGAGAAAATTCAATTTTTACAAGTTAAGTCACTAAGATAAGATTTATGGAGAAAGGGGACTATAAGAATTGTAAAGGTAATTAGGACATGAAGAGCTTTGATTACTAAGTTAAAAAATTTGGATTTTACTCTATAAAAACTAAGAATACTGCTTTATCTTATCACATTTATTTTATATACAGTTGACCTTTGAACAATGTGTGTTCAGACTGCATGGGTCCACTTATACATAGACTGTTTTTATTAAAGAGTTGGCAACAAAAGCGTTTATTTACAACAGCAAGTCATTTATTTACTACTGCCCATCCCACCAGACCAACTAAAGGCAGCTGGCACGGAGGTCATGCCCGCTGCACTGAGTATCCTAAGAGGCCTGCTGAGGCAATTAGCAGCCCCTGTGGGTTGGGGGAGGGGCCATGACTGGGCAGGGCTACAGATCACCCAGTGTACTGAGAAGGTGGTCCCATTGAGCATCCAGGGCTGGCCAGCAGAAGCCTGGGCTGAAGTGGAAAAACAAGCCCATTGGGCAGGGACAGCACTGCATAGGACGTCCCTGCACTAAGTCCTCTGTGCCTGTGGGATTGGGAGGGGACTCACTCCCCACCACAGCACCTTGGCCTCAGGGCCTCCTGGAGACCAGCATACTCACATGTAGCCACAGGTGCCAGTGGTACATGTCCAGGCAGATGAGGCAGCTATACTATGCCTCCACGCAACTGTTGCAGCCTGCAGGCTACCCAGGGGTTGCCACTGCTGAGCCTAAGCCACCAGGCTATGGAACTTTGCCATCCCAAGGCCAGCCCCCTATCCCATGCCTATGCACAAATGTTTTTCAATAAATATACATACAGTACTGTAAATATATCTTCTGTTCCTTATGGTTTTCTTAACATTTTCTTTTCTCTAGTTTACTTTATTGTAAGAATAAAGAGTATAATAGATACAACATACAAAATGTGTTACTTAACTGTTTTTTGTCACGGGTAAGGCTTCCAGTCAATGAGTAGGCTATTAGTAGTTAAGTTTTGGGGAATCAAAAGTTATACACGAATTTTTGATGCAGGGGTAGACATCCTTAATCTCTAGTTGTTCAAGGGTCAACTGTAGTATAATTTTTATGTTTTTATCTCTTATAGTGGCAAAGAAGGAGATACTACAGATTATGAACAAAACTATTTCAAAACCTCGAGCATCTAGAAAAGAAAATGGACCTGTTGTAGGTAATGGACTAAAGTTATTATTTATTCTGTGATAAGGTAAACATTAATATATGAAAGTATATTATTATATTTAAATTTCCTTTAACTTCATACACAAAACAAAAATATTTTAAATATTTCTATAGTTAAAATATTTTAAATTTGGGGAGATATTTTTAGGCATTAGTACTTTCAGAAACTTTAGTCAAGTAACTATTTTTCTATTTCCCATGAAATATTTTTACATGTGTCTATGACAAAAAAAATCTTGACTGATCAAGATGTGTTTTAGGTTCATATATGTATTTGAATTATCTACAATTTTGTCTGTACCGCATTTCAGAAACTATTCAGGTTCCATTATCAAAACGGGCAAAATTTGTGGGACCAGGTGGATATCATTTAAAAAAGCTTCAGGCTGAAACAGGTAAGAGTTGTATAAAGTTTGGGGGTTTTATTTTTTTTAGAGAGGGAGGGGGAAAGAGGAGAGGGGAGAGAGAATCTTAAACAGGCTTCATGTCCAGCATGGACCCCAACTTGAGGGCTCGATCTCACAACCCTGAGATCATGACCTGAGCCGAAATCAACAGTCAGACACTTAACCAACTGAGCCACCCAGGCACCCCAAGTTTGAAGGTTTTAATGGTAGGCTACATAAGTTGCCATTTCATCTCTTATTGTGTTCAAAAAATATGTTTGAGATATGCAAGAATAAGAGAAAAGAATACAACACTGACATGTTTTTACTGTAAGTGTTCTGTATGCCTCTTAATAAATCAACAGTCATTCTTACCTAGGATGACCTAGAATTCATCAATTCATCAATTGCTTTGTAACATTTTAAAATTGAACATTTAGAAAAATGTTTAGTTTTTCACTTTAGAGGACTTTGATGTCATTTTCTATTCTGCTATTTTTCACTTAGTCTTATTTCGACTCTTTAAAGAGTGTAGAAATAGTATGCAATCTTTGAGTTACCTAGTACTTACCAGCTTTGAGGTTATTGAAGGAAGGTGAGAAGCAGAGTTGTCTTAGCCAGCTCTTTAGATTGAAAAATGACATGATTTTCTCCCACATCCATCTGTTCACCACTCTAGAGTAAGAGAAAGAAAAAAAGGTGAGGAAAAGGTTCTAGTATAGTTTCTACTTATAATTAAGAGAGCAAAACCAAACCTTCCAAAATTAGGACTTAAATATGCTTTCTCCTACCAAACTCTGAGCTCCAAGAACACAGAGACAGTGACTCACTGTTGTTTCCCCAGGGCCTAGTACAATGTCAGATACACAGCAGGTGTGCAATGTGTATTTCTTGGTGAATGAATCCCTTCATTCATAAAGCAATGAATAAATATAACACAACCCTGCCCAGCTACTTACAGGTCAGTCCCCTGCTCTCACATCTACTTTCTGAAACTAGACTCCACTAGAGTGAGCAAATTAACTTTAATGTTAAATTATCTTTTTAAAAGGAGTAACTGTTAGTCAGGTGGATGAAGAAACATTTTCTGTATTTGCACCAACACCAAGTGCTATGCATGAAGCAAGAGACTTCATTACTGAAATCTGTAAAGATGATGTAAGTATAGATCTTATAATACTTTTTTCTACATTTTGTTGCTGTTTATTCATCTTATGGCTTATTTTGCACTTACAGCAAGAGCAGCAACTAGAATTTGGAGCAGTGTATACCGCCACAATAACTGAAATCAGGTAATATCAACTAATATGCCATGCTGGTTTTTGTAAGATTTATATTATAAGCACATGTTAACTTCACATTTGCATTATGTACTTTGTAAGGTATTTAGATTTTATGTCAATTACCTACCATAGAATCATTAATTATTTTTAAGGTATAATTTATTTTCTATACCAGTTTGTTGATTTTCAATAACATGATTCTGTGATTATAATTATATTAATAGATTCATCTAAATAAATTGTTTTCTTGAACCAAATATCCCACCATTTAAATTTTCCCAATAAACAGTAAAACAGGCCCAAAACAGACCTAGCAATATTTCCTTTTTCTTTCTTTTTTCTGATAGTTTGTTGGTTTGTTTTAAAGATAGTACTACTTAATGCCTAAGGAGCACATTTTTTTTATTTTATTATGTTATGTTAATCACTATACATTACATCATTAGTTTTTGATGTTCCATGACTCATTGTTTGTATATAACACCCAGTGCTCCATTCAATACGTGCCCTCACATTTTTTTAAATGTCACTTTCAACCTCAAAGCATTTTTTGTCAGCTAAAAATTTTGGGGATGAGAAAATCCCCCCCTTTATTAAAGATTTTATTTATTTATTTATTTGAGAGAGAAGTAACAAGAGAAAGCACAAGTGGGGAGGAGAGGGAGAACCAGGCTCCCTGCAAACAAGGAGCCCAATGCAGGGCTCAATCCCAGGACCCAGAGATCATGACCTGAGCCAAAGGCAGACGCTTAATGGACTGAGGCACCCAGGCGCCCTTGAAAATCCCCCTTTTAAGGAAAAAAATACATCTATGTATCGATATAGCCTGAGTGTTCAAAGCTATTTGAAATGAATAACAAAAGCCAATGGAATAATTTGTTTAATATCACAGGTGAAAAACTAAGAAATGGGATGGCTTATTTTAGTAGACTAGTGAAAAGAAGATAAATTTTTAATGAAACATTTTATCCAACCCCCTTCCTTAAGTCATTATTTAATAGGCTGATGATTAATCTACACTACTTTAAAATATTTAATGTTGCTGTCCCTCTACTCCCCGCTTGTGCTCTCTCTTGGTATCTCTGTCACTTTCTCTCTAATAAAATCTTTTTTAAAAAAATAAAAAATATTTAATGTCATTTCAAAATGTTTGGAGAAATACTATGAAGTGAAATATATAAGAATATATAGTCTAAAAGCTTGTCACTACACAATTTTCCTTTATCTCTTCTCTGTCCTTTCATTAACAAGTATTTAAATACTGGGTGTAGGGGTGCCCGGGTGGCTCAGAAGATGCCTTCAGCTCAGATCGTGACCTGGGATCGAGGCCCAAGTTGGGCTCCCTGCTCTTCAGGGTAGTCTGCTTCTTCCTCTCCCTCCCCCTGCTCATGCTATCTCTCTCACTCTCAAATAAATAAAATCTTTTTTAAAAAATTTAAATACAGGGTGTATGTTCAGTTGAAAAAATAAGTATCTCTTTTAGATAATCGTTTTTACAATTTTGTGTGCGTGTTTACTTTGTTCTCCAATTAATACATATTCAGTTTATCAGTAGATATACAGGTACTGTTTTAATCAGGCTTATTTCCTTTTCAGAGACACTGGAGTAATGGTTAAGCTATATCCAAATATGACTGCAGTACTACTTCATAACACACAACTTGATCAACGAAAGGTAAAAAAAAAAACTTGATTATTTTTAAAACTGCCTTAAAATCATCATAGTGAAATTACCTGGGTTGATGAGGATTGTGCACTTTGTCCACTACTAGCCTAAATATAGAAAACTGAAAATGACAGCGATGTTGCTGACAAAAACTTTTTACACTATTTAACACAGGTATTTATGTTTGTACTTGTATGATGGAATAGAAATACTCTTGAGTTAACACATCTATAGTTAACATATAACAGTTACTTTTTAAAGATACCTACCTATAGCCCTGTCTTCCCAATTTTCTTGGCCAACCAAGCATGGCAAGATAAAACTAAAAATATGAAACTGTTCAAGAAAACAATAGGTGCAGAGGATAATAGGAATGTTTGGTTTACCAAATATTGAAATATAAAGCTATAGAGAATGAAACAGTATATTACTGACCTAGAATTAGACACCATGCAACAGAAAATAGAGACAGAAATCGTCCAGTTATATACATGGGAATATAATATATACTAAAAGTTGCATTTTCAGTCTGAAGAAACAAAGATGATTCAATACATTGTATTGGAATAGCTGGTTTTCATGAAGCACAATGTCTACTCTTCTTATTTTAAAAAGATTTATTTATTTTAGAGAAAGACCACAACTGCTTGAGTGAGGGGAGGGGCAGAGGGAGAGAGAGAGAGAATCTCAAAGAGACTTCCCTGCTGAGTGCAAAGCCCCACACAGGGCTCGCTCTCACAACCCTGAGATCATGAACTGAGCCGAAATCAAGAGTCAGATGCTTAGCTGACTGAGCCACCCAGGTGCCCCTGACATCATTTTTAAAAAGTATATGGCGGGCGCCTGGGTGGCTCAGTTGGTTAAGCGACTGCCTTCGGCTCAGGTCATGATCCTGGAGTCCCGGGATCGAGTCCCGCATTGGGCTCCCTGCTCAGCAGGGAGTCTGCTTCTCCCTCTGACCCTCTTCCCTCTCGTGCTCTCTATCTCTCATTCTCTCTCTCTCAAATAAATAAATAAGAAATCTTTAAAAAAAAAACGAATAGTATAAAAAGTATATGGCAAAATTACAATAAAGTTGAAAGGCAAGTAGCAACTTAGGGGGAAAAGATGTATATAACATATGAGAGAGGCTTCATATGCACAGGGTTTGTATGGATCGGTAAGAAAGGTCAATATCAACAGCAATTTATTTTAATTAAAGATTTATTATTATTTTTTTAATTTTAGACAGAGAGCATGGGCGAGCAGGGGGAGGAACAGAGGGCGAGGGAGAGAATCTCCAGCAGACTCCATGCTGAGAGGAGAGTCCAACTCAGGGCTTGATCTCACGACCCTGGGATCATGGCCTGAGCTGAAATCAAGAGTCAGATCCTTAGCCCACCAAGTCTCCCAGGCACCCCAACAGCAATTTTTTAAAATGCAAATAAAACTAAGTTATTTCACAGTGTTCAGAGAGTTGAAAATTACCAATGTGGGTAAAAATATGGAGGAAAAAATGGACATCCTCATACACTTGAGGTACTGTTGTAGGAATGTAAATTGGGACAAACTTTTTGAAGAGTGTTTGGTAAATGTGTATGAGTACCTTTGGCCCTAGAAGTTCAACATTAGGACTTTGTTCTGAGAGAATAATTTGAGTAAATGAATACATAATTGTTGCAACACTGCAGTTATCTACAGAAAGGTTGAAAAAAATAGTACACTGAACACACATATACATTACATCTAGATTCAGTAATTATTAACATTTGCAATACTGGAATTTGAGGGGCGCCTGGGTAGCTCAGTCAGTTAAGCATCTGCCTTCAGCTAAGGTCATGATCTCAAGTCTGGGATTGAGCCCTGCACTGGGTTCTCTGCACCACAATGAGTCTGCTTCTCCCTCTCCCTCTCCCTCTGTGCCCTACATTCACTCCCACCCAATAAATAAAATCTTAAAAAAAAAATACTGGAATTTAAAATGAATTAAATGACCATCTTTGGGGATCAGTTAAACAAATTATATAGTTTGAACATTCAACTGTACTGTTTCATTTATTGATATAAAAGGATGTCAACATATTATTGAATGAAAAATCAATGTATTAGAAAACAAGCTCAGTAAGGTCCATTTTTACAAATGCAGTACATATTAAGTAGACATTTGAAGGGATACTTGTTAGAGTATCAGCAGTAGTTATCTAAAAAGTAGAGAGGTTTGGATGATTTTTGCTCTCATTTGAATACATATTATTTTAAGCCTTTATAATCAACAGATTTTATAATCAGAAAAAACAATAAAACTTTCCACTTAAAAAATGTGTACTATTATGGATATTAAGAAATTATGCACAACAACTAATAGATGAACATGTTCTCTTTCAGATTAAACATCCCACCGCCCTCGGATTAGAAGTTGGCCAAGAAATTCAGGTACTTGTATTCAACTTTTTAGCCTTAAAGTTGTAAACTGTACTCGAAGTTTCAATTATTATTATTATTTTTTAAGATTTTATTTATTTGACAGAGAGAGACACAGCAAGAGAGGGAACACAAGCGGGGAGTGGGAGAGGGAGAAGCAGGCTCCCTGCTTGGCAGGGAGCCAGATGCGGGGCTCAATCCCAGGAACCTGGGATCATGACCTGAGCCGAAGGGAGACACTTAATGACTGAGCCACCCAGGCGCCCAATAATTTTTTTTTTTTTTCAAAAAGCTAAAAGAATCAAATCAGCGTCTGTAATTTGTAT